GCGGTGCATTGTGGGAGCCGCGCGAGCGGGCCCTCGGGCCGTGAGGGGGCGGTGCCGCGGGCTCTCTATGGTCCCGCCTGCTCGCCAGCTAGAGCGGCCGGGGCGGTGCGCGGGCGGCGCGCGGAGACCGCCGGGAACGGGACGGGAGCTCGCGCCCCTCCTTTCCTCCCCGCCTCCGCGCTGCTGCGCGCTGGGGCTCTGGAGCCGACATGGGCGCCGCCGCGTGGGCATCGCGACCCATGGCGCTGCGTGCGTCTCTTCTTTTTCTCCTTCTGCCGCTCCCCGGGCTGCCCGCGGGCTCCTGGGACCCGGCCGGTTACCTGCTCTACTGCCCATGCATGGGTAAGGCCTCCCAAGCCCTCTACTCAAGTGGGAAAACAGGCCCAAAGAGGCGAAGCTACTTCTCTAAGCCACTCCTCTGAGGCTTCCAGAGACACCTTGACAGGTCCAGGAGAGAACCCCAGCGCGGGCACTGAGGGACCTCTATGTCCAACCTTCCATTTAGCAGATGAGAAAACTGAGGCCAGGAGAGGTTACGTGTCATGTGCAAGGTCTAAGCTAGCCCGGAGTCCAGTAAATAGAGTTAGTGGGGCAGGACTTGGTGTCATTGACTCAACTCTGCTTCTGAATGAGTCTTTCATTCATTCAACAATATAGGGCGCTTACTCTGTGCTCAGCCGTATTCTCTGCTCTGAGGAAACGCAGGGATAAGACAGAAAACTACATGCCCTTATAGAGCCTTCATTTTAGTTGAGGAAGACAGATATTAAAAAATAAGCAATTACATAGTATCTTAAAGGACGATGAATGCTATGGGAGAATCTGAGGACGGGTTGAAGGATGCAATTTAAATGAAGTGGTGGATCATCATTGTAAAAGTCATGCCTTCTTAAAATCCCCCAGGCTCCTGACTGTATTGATTTGGCCCTCTGCCCATATCCACCACTCCCTTCTCCCTCACTAGATTCTCCAGCTGCAGCCACACTTACCGCCTTTCTGTTCCTCACACTAAGTCTGGTCCTGCAGCCTGTTCTATTGCCTGTGCTATTCTCCCTGCCTGAAACACTCACCTGTTCACTTCTGCCAGACCAACTCCTTCCCATCCTCAGATCACAGCTTAAATGTCAGCAAAAAGAACTTCTTACCTCAACCCAAATAATCTTATTGTTCTCCATCACCAGAATTTTTAAAATTTCTTTCTTGAAATTATCAAAATTGATCACTATATATTTGTTTACATGTTTAATGTCTCCTTAGCTGGACTGTGAATGGCTCGAAAGCAGAGAATTTCTTCTACCTTACTCCTGTATTCTAGCACCTAGCAGAGAACCTGGCACATTGTGGCCGCTCAATAATATTTGTAGAATGAGTGAATGAATGCTATGCTACGGATAACAAGAGTCAGACAGTCCTTGCACCTGAGGCATTCACAGGCTGCGGAAACAGCCAGTACAAAGATGAGGAAGTGGGAAAGGATATTCTAGGAAAAGTGAAGAACCATTAGTAACTCAAATCCAAATGGGAGGCAGAGATGGGGGACTAAGTATGGCAGTGGATTTGTAAAAGGATCCCAGCGAATGAGGCATTGGAGGTGCCCTTTCTTGCACAGGTGAGTGGAGATAGAGGTGGAAGGGCACTCCTGGCTGACGGAACATCAGGAACAAAGGCATGGGTTGGGGATGTATAGAGTAGAAGTGCAGTACATGTTTGGAAAATGGCAAGGAAACTGGAGTAGCTAAGGCAGAAGGAGCAGACTCTGAGGGCCTTGACTGTCAGGCCCAGGAATCCAGACTTGATCTCATGATCCCTTGCTGCCAGCTCCCCTGCCCGCCCCATGCCCTCGATGCCCCAGGCCTCACCTTTCCCACAATATACCATCCAGGGCGTTTTGGGAACCAGGCTGATCACTTCTTGGGCTCCCTGGCGTTTGCAAAGCTGTTGAACCGCACCCTGGCTGTACCTCCTTGGATTGAGTATCAGCATCACAAGCCTCCTTTCACCAATGTGAGTATCTCTTCCAGCCTTGGCCTTTGACCACCCGTCCCCAGTCCTATTCATCTCTGCTTGACCCCAAGTCCTTCTCTGGGCTTTACCTCCCACCCGTGTAATTTGCCCTGTCCCCACCCAGAACTGTCTTCCTTGGAATAACAGTGAGGAACATTTATCCATTGCCTGCTGTCTGCCAGGCACTGTTCTGAGCACTGTGTGAAGATTAGCTGTTTTCTTCCTCATCACTTCCCTATGAAGAAGCAGGTTTATAAAGGTTAGGTAATTTGCCTGTGAGTGGTAGAGCTGGAATTCAAGCCCATGTATGTCTGACTCCAGAGGCCGTGACCTGAACCTAAAGCCCTGTTTCCAGCTGTAGTTGGTCCCAACCTCTGTGCATCTCGTTGGTCAAAAGGTGATGGGTGCTATTAGTTTTGAAAGAGAAACAGAAGCACAGGGTAGTTAAAGAATATGTCCAAGGCCACAAACCCAGGGACTTTGGCTTCAGTGCCACCTCTCACCCCATCAGGGGGCTGCCTTAGCATGCTGATGCTCAGCATCCTCTAATTCCTTGCTTACTCTTTGGATATTCTACTGGCCCTGTGCCTGTCTTTGTTCACATTGTATCCTCAGAGGCCTGGCAGTAGGAACTAAATATTTAATAAATTGACTTTATTTTTTTTAATTTTTATTATGGTGACATTGGTTAACGAAATCCAGTAAGTTTCAGGTGTACAATAAATTGACTTTAAAAGCTTTTAATAAACTTCAGAAAATTACAGTTAGTATGTATAAAACACTATTTCATTCTCATAGTCTTTTCTCTGCATAGATTTTATTTTTCTTTTGCATGCTTGTATTTAGAGAGGTTTTTAACAGAGGTGAAAAACCAGAGTACCTGAGATCTTAGCCTGGCAGAGTTCTTGACCCCTTTGTGCCTCAGTTTTCTCATCTTTGAAATAGAGTGGTAATAATTGTTGCTATTTCCTACCATGAGTTAGTGATTGTGGCATGCCATAAACATTTTATGCCTCTCAGAAATAACTGAGCTCATCAATGTAGAATGCTTAGGACATAGGAAGTCCTCAGTAACTGGGAGTTGTTCAAATTTTTCTTGCACTCACTGTTATAGTTTAGACATTGCCCATTCATTTCCTTCTAGCTTGTTTTCTCTCACCTTACCTTCTTGGCCAAGAATCTTTCAGAGTCTCCACTTCTTGCTTCTTATAGGTTACTTAACCCACCCTAATTGGGCTCCCCTTCCCCCCTGGAATTGTTTTCACAGACGTCACCAGGGACCTCAGAATTGCCAAATCCAGGGGTCATTTCTCAGTCTTTATCTCAAATGACCTCTCAGTGGCACTTGGCCCTATGAGCCTCTTTCCTTCTTTAACTTTCCTACTCTCCTGGCTTCCAAGACAGCCTGCTCCTGCTTCAGTCCTGACCTCTCAGCATCTTCCTCTTTGCACTGTGTTGGAGCTACTCTCCACTCACTGTTTAAATCTTGGTGTGTCTCCTTTTTCTGTTCGCTCATTAGCTATGTGACTTCAGATAAGTTATCTAGATTCTGTCTGCTTGGATTTCTTCATAAGTAAACTGGAAATGGTAGTATTCCTACTCATAGAATTAGGTGAAGATTAACAAGTCCATGAAATGTGATGAGAACAGCACCTGGTACAAAGTCAGCACACAATAAATATTAGTTGCTGTTACCATTATTTGCTTTGCTATAAATTTCTGTTGACTCTTGTGGCTTTCACATTTCTCCACATACCTCCCAAATTTATCTGTGGCCCAGACTCTTCTGAACACAAGCCTGTGTTTCTAATTCCTAGGCCAATGAGTCTATTTGGATGTCCCACAGATATCTCAAATTCTCAAAGCCAGAACTGGACTTGGTATCTTTCCCCTCAAACCTGTGTTACTTCGTATATTCCCAGCCTTAGTTTATGTCACCCCTATTCATCTGGATACCAAGCCAAGACTCTAGAAGTCATCCCAAATGCCTCCCTTTACACTCTACTTTGCCTTCCTTGGCATCTTCTAGCCTGTCTATACCTCTCTATCTTCACTTGGACTTATGAGAGATGCTCAAAAATACATGATGAATGAATAGTTGAACAAATAAAAAGACCATTGCAGTAGCCTCCTAATTCCTCTCCCTCCTTTAATCTTACCATCAGTACATTCTCTCCCTCTGCCACCAGAATGATCTTTCAAAAAGGCAAGCAGATCTTATATTATTCTGCTTGAAATACTCCAGCAAGACCTTATTGCTAATAGTTAAGGTTCCCAAAGTCTGTACATCCGAACGCCAATGGCTCATGAAAGAAGTGTGCAGTGGTTAAATCACTTTGGGAAATTATATTTTCAATATCCCATCACTCCAAAGATTCAAATACACATTAGTATATTAAAGGCCCTGAGAGATCCTGTAGTAAAGAAACCAGTTTAACACAACATTTCCCAGGCTGTGTTAACTCTGGAGTCTTTTTATTGCAGGACCTTTTATCCGCTTGAACTAGTGGGACATGCTTGGGAACCCTGACCTATAAGATAAGGTCTCAATTTTATTCCATGTTGTTCTAAGAACTTTTTTTTAATCTAGAAAAATACAGGAATTAATACAATTACCATCCATGTATTCACTGCTGGAAGTGACAATCATTAAGTTTCTTATCTTTGCTATGATGTTACAGATAAAGTTGTTGAAAGATAAAATCTCTCTTGGCTCCTTAGACTAATCCTAATCTTTCCCCCTCACCCCAGAGGCAACCACTGTCAATGGATTTAGTGTCTTTGGTGTGAGTTCTTTCCTATATTTCTGTTGTGGCACAGAGAGTCCTTGTATCTCCTGGTGCAACATGCAGGAACTTCTCTAGGACAAATACCTAGACCTGGTAGGAGCAGCATTTTATAGATGCTGCAAGATTACATTTCAAAGTGATTGTCCCAAAATGTACTCTTCTACTCCAGCTGAGTGTGAAAATGCCCCTTTCCCCACATTAAATTTTTGCTGGTCTCCTGGGTGAGAAATGATGTCTGAAATTTGTAATTTGTTTTTTCCTGATTACTTGTGAAGTTCCACATCTTTTGAGTGTAGTCACTATATGGGTTTCCTTTGCTGTGATTTGTTAACTCCTTTCCTTTGCCCATATTTTCTCTTGCATCATTTGTCTTCTTTTTTTTTTTCAATAGATCAGCAGGCATTTTTTAACACGAGGGATATTACTCTTTGTTCTTTAGTTTGCAGATATCTTCTCCCAATCTGTCTCTGTCCCAATTTGTTGTTTTTTACCAAAAGTTTTTCATTGGCATGTAGTCCAAACTATCTGGGTCTTGGAGTGTGTATAGTTTTAATAAATGTCTGTGAAACAGCCACTAGGATATTGAGGAAAGACCATTGCCTCTCCTTTTTCTCCTTTTCCTATAGCTCCATGTGTCCTACCAGAAGTACTTCAAGCTGGAGCCCCTCCAGGCCTACCATCGGGTCATCAGCCTGGAGGACTTCATGGAGAATCTGGCACCCACCCACTGGCCCCCTGAGAGGCGAGTTGCATACTGCTTTGAAGTGGCGGCCCAGCGAAGCTCTGATAAGAAGACGTGCCCCATGAAGGTGGGTAAGGTGGTTCCTATGGTTATGGGGGGGGGACCCTTTCTGCCTGTTCCATCTCCTCTAGGCCCAAGACACTGCACAATGGCACTATGTGAGAGCATGCACCACCAGGGCGTAGAATAGAAAGATGAAAATTTAAGTCCCATTTCTGGCATTTGCCAGGGGTATCACCTTGGGCGGGGGACTTTGCTTTCTCTGAGCCTTTATTTCTCTACAAAATAAAGATGCCAGTCCCTGCTCTGTCTCTCTCATAAAGTGTCATGAAGGCCAGGTGTAAGAGTGCTTGTAAACTGTAAAGTGCCATCAGTAATAACAACTAAAGCTCACATAGCACTTACTACATGCCAGGTACTATGCTAAGAGCTTTACACATATTAACCCAACTTAATCATTAAACTTCTCCGTGAGGAAAGTACTATTAACATCCCCGTAATACAGAGAGGATGCTGAATGCAACACAGAGAAGTTCAGTATTTTGCCCAAGGTCACATAGTATATAAGTGGTGGAGCCAGGATTCAACCCTAGGTAATTTGACTCCATTGCCCACTCTCCTAATCTGTATACTTTCCTGCCTCTCAGCAGGTAAATGAGAAACTTGTATTGGTAGAAATTTGTAAATTTCTGGCACTTTTGGAATAAGACAATTCTTAGTGTCTTTCAGTGCTAATGCCAAAGTCTGGAGAAGGTGGTTGGAGGAGCCATGAAATTTAAGGAAGGAGATGGCTTATAGCCCCAACACTGCCCTCACTTGCTATGTGAGTTTTACACATAGCATCAGGGGCAAGTGCACTAAGTGTCTTACTCAGTCTCGGCCCTGGCTTCCATCTTGAAAGTAAGAGCATTGGATTAGCTGGTTGTGAAAGTCCTCAAAGCTCTAATCCATGGTCTCATATTCAAGGCCCACTTCTCTTCCCCAGACCCACACCAACGCTGCAGGGTCAGCAGCTTGCGGCATGTGAGCTGGAAAGACTCCTTTAGACCCTGGTGAATATCTGCTAAAAACCAGACTGGTGGTGAAACTGCCCTCCTTATGCCCCAGCCCAAGAGTTACAAAGTGACATTCCTACTAGGCCATCCTATGAGGGTATTTCAGCCGGAATTGTATTGCCCAGGATCCCCACACCCTCACTTCCTTGGCCCCATCCCCTTCCGTAAGCCTTTGAACACTCTTTTTCTGCAGGAAGGAAACCCCTTTGGCCCGTTTTGGGATCAGTTTCATGTGAGTTTCAACAAGTCTGAGCTTTTTGCAGGCATTTCCTTCAGCGCCTCCTACAAAGACCAGTGGATCCAGAGGTACTTGGAGGGGGCAGCATCGCTGGGTTTAGGGGAGGGGCCTGGGACCCATGGGCATTCAGCACCTTCCTGGCCCCTTCTCCCTCTCTACCACACCCTAATATATGAGACCAAAGGTGCAGCCATTCTGTCTGTTGAACTTGGGATCCTGTGTGATCTATTTTCATCTCAGTGCCAAACAGAGTGGGACATTGACCTGCTACGAAGTTGAGAAAGAGTTTATCAGCCGATAAAAGATGTCATAAAAAGAATATCATGCAGTCATATGAGTCTCAATTTCCTTCTCTAGGCATGAGAATCACTCCTCTGTTACCTTTCTCTTCACAAGGTGAAAATTAGAAGCAGCTTCTAGAGAAGAACCACTTTAGGTACAGACTGAGAAATGATGTCATCCTGATAATAATTGGATGCTTTTTTAGTTGTGCTCCAGTAGGCCCTATTAAAAAAAATAGGTTAGCAGGGCATAGGCACAGGCTATGAAATGTTTATAGAGCATCTGTCATGTATGAGACATAGTACTCAAAGGCCAGAGGTGATATATAGAAATGAGGAAGACTCAGCCTCAGCCTTCAGCTAGCTATTGTCTGGTTGTAATGATGATAACTAACATAGTGCACTTGCCCTTGATGCTATACTGTGGCAAGAAAAACTGAGGGCTTAGTAGTCAGACTTGGGTTAAGAGTTATAAGGAGCTTACGAATTCATGCGTGCTCACATATCATTTAGTAGGCCAAAGGTGGTGTGATACAGAGAAATGAGCACAGGCTCAGGACAAGACAGGACTGCGCTCTGACCCAGCCCTGCCTCTTTCTCAAGTGACCCTGAGCAAGCTACTCTAGCTGTCTGGCCTGAGTTTCCTCAGTTTAATGGAAGGAGCACTATGATATCTGCCTCTTAGTGTATAAAGCACATGGCTCATTGAAAGGATCCAACCAGTGTTAGCTATTATTATTACTATTCACATGCTTTATTTAAACCTTTGAGAAATTTCATGAAGTGGGTATTATGATCAGTTCTACTTGACAGGTGAGGAAACTGAGCTCAATGAGGTTAAATAACTTGTCTAAGGTAATGCAGCTGTTGAGTGGGCAATTGGGGTCTGTATATAAGCCTTTAATCTATATTAAGAACTAAATATTTATTTAGTGCCTACTGTGTTCCAGATACTATTCTTCACTCCTAAATATTCTAAAGTAATAATTCATTTAATCCTTTCAGGAATCTGTGAGATAGGTGTTATTGTTATCTGTACTTTATAGGTAAAGAAATTAAAGCAGACGAGCGAAGTCACTTGCCCAAGGTCACACAACTTAGTAGTAGTAGTCTGGGATTTGAACCCAGGCAGCATGACTCCAGAGCACCCATTCTTAATCACCATGGAGAAAATATTTATGCCTTTAAAAGCTACCAATTCCTATTTGAGACTTGCCTTCAGAGCTAGTTCATGAGCTGCTTAGGATACTCAGTCCTAGCAGATTCTAATTCTCTTCATTATTGATCTCAGATAAGACAGTCCCATTTAATCACCTACTTGGTTCTCCAGCTCTGAATGAGCTATTGCTAGAAGATCAACCTGCCCTCAGAAGATGGAGATTTGCCCCTATTCACAAAATTCCAGAAAAAAGAAAAAAACACTAGTTCTAAAAGTAGTTTCAAAAGCAATCCAAAAAGCCAGAAAAACACACAGTCCTGGTGGGAAGAGAAAGGACAGTACGACATGGATGCATCAATCGGGAAATGTTGCTGAAAGACCTGTTCATTGCCCCCTAGCCTTGTTGGAGTTCATTGACTTGTAGGAATTGCATGAGGGCTTGGGGAAGCTTGTGGCTTACAGCCAAATTTGGGGGAAAGGAAGGCTAGTAAGGAAGATAAGGTCCCGGAAGGCAGTTTGAGAGAGTAAGGGCCACCTGGACAGCTGCCTTTTTTTTTTTTCTTTCCTTCCTTCCTCTCACACGTATTTAAGAAGCACCCACTGAGTGTTAAGCACTGTTCCGAATGCTGGGGATATAGGCAAGAATAAGGCAGATAAATCTTTTGCCCTAATGGAGCTGAGTCTAATGGGGGAGACGGTGAATAAACTTTTACCTAAAAGTATTCCAGAAGACATAGTGCTATGAAAGACATACACAGATCTGTGATTGGCAGGGCTGAAACCTTGTCTTCGTCAGCTCGGGCTGTTCTAACAAAATACCACAGACTGGGGGAGCTTAAAACACATTTATTTCTCACAGTTATGGATACTGAGAAGTCCAAGGACAAGGTTCCAGCATGTCGAGTTCTGTGTGTGTGTGTGTGTGTGTTTCTTTTCAGCATGTTGGGTTCTGGTGAGGACTTCTTGGCTTATGGGTGCTGCCTTCCTGTATCCTCACATGTCAGTCTCCTTAGGTCACTAATCCCATCTTGAGGACTCTATGCTCATGACCTCATCCAAACCGAACCACCCCCCTAAAGGCCCCACCTCTTAATACCTCACATTCAGGATTGGAGCTTCAACATATGAATTTAAAAGAGAGGACACAAACATTCATCCATTACAGACCTGAAGGATGAGGAGCCAGCCATCCAAAGAGCTGGGAAAGGTCGTTCTTCATGGCAGAGACATGGAGAGTAGAGGCTCTGAGGCAGGAACAAGCCTGGTGTGGTCAAGGGGCAGGAAGAGGGCCAGTGTGGCTGCTGTGGGGCATGTGAGGAGGAAAATGGTAGGATGTTCCTGTTGTCTATTGCATAATAAACCACTTGAAAACTTAGTGGCTCAACAATAACTTATTATCTCTTGAGTTCTCTGGATTGACTAGATTTAGCCAGGCAGTTCTTTTTTTTTTTTTCTTTCCCCCATTTTCTTTATGGAATTTGAGCTGTATAAGTTTCAATCTATGTTAAATATCTAATTTCTTGGAATGAATACCCATTAGAATAACTACCACAGATTTGGTGGGAGACTTTTTATATAAAGAGAAAATGAAATTTAATCATAATCTCACCACCCCTCCAAAAAACACTACTAGCATTTTGATGCATATATTTCTACTCTCCAGACATTTTTATACACATATACATATCTATACATACTAAGCTAAAATGAAATTATATATAATTTATAATTGAGTATCTTTTCTGAGGAGTAATTAATATTTGTCAGGATAGTAAATATCTTTCTAAACAGAAAAACATGAGATTTCAAAAAATAGTACCAGTGTGTATATATGCTAATAGAGTGTATATGTGTATTTATTTATTTACTTGCTTATTTTAGCCATTTTTAAGTGTATAATTCAGTGGCATTAAGTATATTCATAATGTTGTACATCCATCACCGCTATCCATCTCCAGAGCTTTTTCATCATCCCAAATAGAAACTCTGAACCTGTTAAATGATTACTCACCATCCCCCTTCCCCAGCTCCTGTAACCTGTATGTTACTTTCCTGTCTCTGTCTAGGAACCTCATATAAATGGAATCATATATTTGTCCTTTGTGTCTGGCTAATTTCACTTAGCATAATGTCTTCAAGTTTCTCCCATGTTGTAAGCAAATGTAAAAATTTTAGTACTTTTAAGGCTGAATAATAGTTCATTGTATTTATAGACCGCATTTTGTTTGTCCATTCATCTGTTGGTGGACACTTGGGTTAGCTGGGCACTTCTTGGGTTGTGTTCTCATGTGGTTGCAGTCAGCTATTGCCTGTTGCTAGCGTCATCTGAAGGCTTGACTGGGTTGCACATCCAGGAGGGCTCACTTATGACTGGCAGGTGATGTGCTGACTGTCCTCTGGTAGCTCAGCTGTGACAGTCAGTTGGTGTGTGTACGCTTGACCTCTCCATGTGGCATAGACTCTGACAGCATGGCAGCCAGGTTCTGAGAGGGTACATCCAGGGAGTGAGTGTTCCAAGAGACAGGAGGTAGAAGCTGCTGGCCCACTAAAGCCTGGGCCTGGCAACCGGAATAGTGCCAAATGCTATTGAGAGGTGACATAGAACCCACCTAATAGTAGGAAATTTAAAGAATTAGTCATATCAAACCTCCTATCCTATGAGGAGCTGAGGCTTGGAGTGCCAACAAGTCTTGGAAGTCTTGGCAATTTGGAAGGTGTTTGTGGAGTGAGATGTTTGAGTTGGGCCTGAAGAAAGTGGCATTTCCATTGCAGCATTGTCATATTGTCTAGCAGGAGGGGACTAGATGGGTACATTGTGGTTTATTCATGCAAAATAGAAAGCTGCAAGAGAAGCTAACAGGGTCACATGATCCATATGATTTATATGGCCAAATTTTTAAAACAAAGTTGAATTTTTTAAAAGTTGAAATAGGTTACATGCAATATGGTCATATGATGATAATGACAGAATTTTCTCAGAGTTTTCTATGTGCCAAGCACTGTTCTAAATACTTTGCTCGTATTAATCCATTTAATTGTCTCAACAGCCCTGTGAGGTAGGAACTATTATCAACTCTGTTATACAGATGAGAATATTGAGGCATAGTTAAGTCAGAATGGTTAAGTCACCTGCCCAAGTGGCGTAGTCAGCATTCTGGAACAAGGCCGTCTGGCTTAACAGCCCATGCTTTTACCACTACACTGTGTAAAAAGCATACAGTGTAATAATACCTTTTCATATCAGTAGTAAAAGTGTATTTGTGCATAAAACCACAGTATCTTCTGGGAAGAGGGAGAAAAGAAGGAAAGAGATGCTAGGATAGAGCTTTTATTTAGTTGTATATATATTTTTTTAATCTGAAACAGAGTATTAATATTTGCTAGTTTGGGTCACAAGTATGTGGATTATTTTCCTTATTTTTCTGTATTTTCTGTATTACGTGAAATATTTCATAATTTTTAATTGAAATTTTTATTGAAGTAATTGTAGATTCACATGAAGTTGTAAGAAATAATATGGAGGGATCCCACATACCTTTTACCCAGTTTCCTCCAATGGTAATAAATTGCAAACTATAATACAGTATCACAACCAGGATGTTGACATTGATACAATCCACCCGTCTTATTCAGATTTCCCGTTTTGCTTGCACTCATCATATCTGTGTGTGTATGTATTTCTGTTCAATTTTATCACGTGTGTAGGTTTATGTAGGTTCATGACACCACCACTGTCAAGATAGCAAACAGTTCTAACATTGCATGATCTTCGTGTGGCAAGTTTATAACCACACTTACCTCCTTAAACATACACACACACACACACACACACACACACACACACACACCCCACCACCACTACCACTCCCCCCGACCCTTGCGCCTGGCAACCACTAATCTGGTCTCTATTTCTCTTTTCCATTTTGTCATTTCAAAAATGTTATAAAATGTAAAGTACAGAGTAGAAAATATAGTGAATAATATTGTAATAACTATGAATAGCTCCAGATGGGCATTAGACTAATTGGGAAGATCACTTCATAAATTATGTAAGTGTCTAACCACTATGCAATACACCTGAAACTAATATAAAATAGTGGTGAATGTCAACTGTAATTGAAAAAAAAATTTAATGTTATATAAATAGAATCATACAGTATGTAACCTTTTGAGATTGACTTTTTTCACTTGGCGTAATTCCCTTGAGATCCATCCAAGTTGTGTCCTGTATCAGTAGTTTGTTCCTTTTTATTACTATAGTATTCCATTGGTTGGATACACCACAATGTATTTAAGCATTTACTTGTTGGACAACATCTGAGTTGTTTCCAGTTTGGGGCTATTATGAATAAAGCTTCTATGAATATCATTTCCTTGTTCCTGTGTGAATATAGGTTTTCATTTCTCTGAGATAAATTCCCAAGAGTACAATTACTAGATCATGCAGTGGTTGCATGTCTAGTTTTATCGGAAGTTGCCAAACCATCATCCAGAGTGGCTATGCCTTTTTCATAATTTTCGGAGCAGGATTTTGGCTGGCAGAAGAAAGGCATTCCAGGTAGAGAGAAGAAGTCTGCAGAGATCTGGCGTTTGGAAGTTTATGGGACAACAGGGTGTTTCATGTTGTTGGGATAGGTTCTGGGCTTAGCTCAAAGAGAACACAGATTTACTCCTTACCCATTCAGTTAGCAAGTCTTTACTTAGCTCTTCTATGTGCCAGACACTGTTCTTCAGAAACCTGAGTCCAGCAGAAAAGACAGTGGTGAAATAATTATAAGGTGCACAGTGTATGGAGGTGGGGGGAGAGCCTTCGAGGGAGGCCTGATGGGGGGGATCTGCAGCAATCTGGTGCTTTCCATGAAGTCAGGGACCATGCCTGTCTCATTCTCCCTTGGGCTCCAACACATAGTAGGTAATCAGTAAATATGAGTGAAGTGTTGAATGAGCTTATCCAGTGTACACATTCCCTGTGAGTGTGGCCTGTCCATTACCCTCTAGAAGCAGCTGCACATCACTAACCTGCCATGTAGGTAAAAGGGCACAAGGCTCTCTCCAGACACCACACCCTGGAGTGAATTACCACACCACAGATTGGAAGCCAGCATGATATACAAAAGGTTGTAATGCTCTACTGGAAATTTTTAATTGTTAAACAAGTAAATAGGGTTGTAAATTCCGGGCAGCGGGACAGTATTGCATATTGTGCTTGTTGCTGCTGCCAAGGTTTCTTATGAGCCCGTTGGGCTTTCACAACCGCTCATGCTTCTTGCATGTTGCAGGGGCCCCTCCACAGGGTCTCTGGGGCATGGTGCAATGCCATCCTTTTTCCCGTGGGGGTGGTGGTCATGCTCTCTGTGCGTCCTCTGTCTGACTTCCCCTCATTCTGTCTTGTATCTAGATTTTCTCCTAAGGAGCATCCAGTTCTGGCCTTGCCAGGGGCCCCAGCCCAGTTCCCTGTCCTGGAGGAGCATAGGCCACTGCAGAAGTACATGGTATGGTCGGACGAGATGGTGAAGGCAGGAGAGGCCCAGATCCGCGCCCACCTCATCCGGCCCTATGTGGGCATTCACCTGCGCATTGGCTCCGACTGGGTAACTTTCCCCTTCCTCTCATGGCTGGGCTGGACATGTCCCTGAGCAGGGCCCGTGCCTGTGGGGGTTGAGCACTGAACCCACTGCACTAAGTCCCAGCCAGAGCAGAGAGTTCTTGCTCAGCCAGCTTGCTTGCCAGCTCTTTGAACAGTTGCTATTTTTATCCTAGTTTTGAAGATGCATAAACTGAGGTATCAAGCTAGACTCTGGGTCAGGCAGCAAGCCAGACAGAGACCCATAACCCAGGAATCGTCTGTCCCAGCTCAATGTGTAGTCAATAGACTCCTTTTTGAAAAACAAGTTCTGGAGATTGGGTGGGGCTCCCAAGAAATGAAGATGTCATCCTCTAAATTTGGAAGCTGCTCAAGTGTGCAGAAACTTCATCAGATTATCCTATGTGTGAAAATAACAGGAGCAATATAGACAGTCTCCTTAATTTACATTAAATATATATATATATTTATTAGAAATACTCACTGTTGAAGACTTGAAAAGTATAGAAATTTGATCAAAATTCATTCAGAGTCAGCTGAGGAAGTAATCACACGTTTACCCACTAGACTTCCTGTCTGCTCCCCTTCCACAAAGGAAAGGAGCCAGGCCTAGAATATGTTATGAGTGGTTTCAGCCAAACCTTCAAGGAGTAGATAGTTCCCATCTGTACCTTCCTAGAACATAAAAAGATATAAGATGCTGCTTTTTATAAAACTAGCATAACACTAGTATCAAACTCAGATAAGGTCAACTCGGAAAAGTATATAGCTCATTCTTACTTATGAACATAGATGCACAGATCCTAAGATATTAGCAAGTGAAATCCAATAGCATTAAAGAGCATACAACACAAACAAGTGACATTTATCCCAGGAATGCAATGAAAGTCACCATATTAACACCCAAAGAAAAGTCATATAATCATCTCAATAGAGTCCAAAGAAAGCATTTAATAAAAGTCAATACTCATTTATGATTTAAAACAAAAACAAAAAACTTAACCAAAAATAGAAGTGACATAAATTAATTAGTTAAAGGCTATCTCTGTGAAACCCACAACAAAGTGTACTTCATGGGAGCTATCAGAAGTGTTCCCACTAAAGTCAGAAATCAGATAAGGCTGCCCATTATCACCATCACAGTTCAGAATTCTACTGGAGATTCCAGATAACACAATAAAACCAGTAAAAAAATACTTTGTAAAAAGCCAACATCCCACTGCCCAGAAATAACCACTGTTACTATTTTGATACATTTCTCTCTTCCCTTAATGCTTTTTTTTTTTAAAAAAAAACATAGTTGAGCTCCTCCTATATTACCTACCTGCCTTTTTTCCACTTACTGGCTTTGGCTTCTAGGATTCCGGGCCAGTTGTTGTCTTTAACTCTGTCCCCTCACCCCACCCTGCAGAAGAACGCCTGCGCCATGCTGAAGGACGGGACTGCGGGCTCCCACTTCATGGCCTCTCCGCAGTGTGTGGGCTACAGCCGCAGCACAGCGGCCCCCCTCACCATGTCTATGTGCCTGCCCGACCTGAAGGAAATCAAGCGGGCTGTGAAGCTCTGGGTGAGGGCGCTCAACGCCCAGTCAGTCTACATCGCCACGGATTCAGAGAGTTATGTGCCCGAGATCCAGCACCTGTTCGAGGGGAAGGTATGCCTGGGCCTAGTGGGAGTACACCGGGAAGGGGGTCAGAGAAGGCACCAGGATGGTCCCACCACTCCTACTGCATGCTTCACGATCTCCTGCCACCAGGCTTTTGCTCGGATATTCAGTTCCTTTCCAATGTCTACTACCCTTCTTTCAAACTCCAGCTCACACACCTCCACAGATGCTGTCTAGTTTTCCCTCCACTCCTGCAGCTAATGTGTTCCAACTGGGAGCTGTCACAGCACTTTATTACATCACCTCTGAGACTCTTTCTAGACTGTGTGAAACTAGTTTAGAAATATGTCTCATTTCCTCCCAGGACTTGTGGCTCCTTGAAAGCAGGATCCAAGGCTGACTCGCTGTTCTGTTCCTTGGCATCTAGCCTGGTGATTTGACATCCTTCAGGGCTGAGACCCCACATTGTTATCACCAGTGCCTAGGACAGTGCCTAACACATAGTAGACAGTCAGTACATGTTTGCTGAATAAGCACGTGAAGAGTGGGCCCTTGGTAGAGCTCCAGTATAGCAGAGGGGTTAAGAGCATGGACGCTGTAGCCAGAGAACTCAGGTTCTACTCACTGTGCAGCCTTGTACCAGTCACTTTATCTCTCTGTTTGTTTCCTCATCTATAAATTGGGACTGGAAGTAGTACCTCTCACATAGGGTGATTGTGAAGATAAAATATAAAGAAATTAAAACCATTCTGGTACAAAATAAGTGCTCAGTAAAGTTAGCTGTCATTGATAGCAGAATTTGGTGGTTGATGAATAAAGGAGGATCTTTTGTTCTTAGTAAATGCTGAAGGAAGCCGTGAATAGTAGGTAGGTAGGTATCAGTACGTGAATAAATAGTACTGTATGTGTGAGGAGTAGGTATTGATAAAATGACTGAATTAATAGTAAGCATTCAATAAGACTTTGTTGAATGAATGAAAGCCAGAAATACTTTAAAAGGCAGACATCTGCTTCTTAGCAGTGAGTGCCCTCGGCTTTACATCGTAGGGCTCCCTTTCTCTTTTACCCCAGACACAGGCTGGAAGCCCAGGCTTGTAGAGACAGTGCTGAGTTGTTGCGCTCTGTCTCTCACCCACCCACTTTAGAGAGGAATATCAGAGCTGGGAGACCTCAGAGCACCTCTAACCCAACCCCTGCATTTTGTTGCTGAGGAAACCAAAGTCCCAAGAAGAGATAGAATTTACCCAAGAGGTTGCAGAGCTAATTATAGTGGGCATGACACAAAGTGGGTAAGTTTCAAGATGTGGGTGGAATTATTCGGGGAATTTTGGCCATGATTAAACTTGTATTATTTGTTTGCTACCATCCAAATAGCAAGATGATGTTTTTTGTTACATCAGTAACCTCTGTGTGATAGCAAAGCACTTTCCGCCCCAGCTCTGCCCACACCCCCACCATGGTACTAAGCTGAAGTACGTGGAGAGCCCCAGGGAATTTTTTGTGAGTTTTTAGTGTCGATACTTTACTTGTTAGGCCTTGAGCCTCTTTACATTTTCTATTTCCTGCTTCTTGCTCTTCCCCATTCCCCAACCCCCTTCTCCATGGGCCAGAGCTCCCCTTCCTCCTAAACTATTCCTTGCTCCTTCATTAAGCTGAGCAAGTGCCGAATCTCGGGTACTGATAAGTATTAGTTGTTGTGCTGCCCTCGAGGGCTCACAGTCTAGACTCAAGTAAAAAGACTTTGCAGAGAAGTAATACATGCCACAAGGGCTGGGTATGATGGGGAAAGGGGTTCATTCATTCACTTGTCTAGTCGACATGTTTCTTAAGGGAGGCTCCAGGCAGCAGGCACAAGCAAACTGACACAGCCTAGGCCCCATCAGGTACAACAGACTGATGTTAATCAGAGAATTACTAAGGAGTAAAAACTATACAAACATTTACTCCAAAGTAAGGAAACGTGGTTCTGAGAGAGTGCAAGACAGAGGACCCTGGCCTAGACTGGGGGCCAGAGAGGACTTCTCCAAGAAGATGAGACTTGAGCTGTAGAGTGAAGATTAAGTAAGAGTTAACCATGCAAAGAGAGGAGTACCCCAAATGGAGGGAAAAGCATATGCAAATGTCCTAAAGAGGATGGGAGCCTGGTGTGTACTGGCTAGAGGTATTAAAGGAGGTGAAGAGGTGGCCTGAACAGGGCCATATAGGCCATAATCAAGATCTGTTGAGCAACAGATCTGAAGAGCAACAGGGCACCATTGGGTGTTCAGTTTGGCCTGAAGTGGGGATGGAGTTAGAGGTATCTAAAAAAGTTTCCTCTGGCTTCTCTGTGATGAACAGACCAGGAAGAGAGGCAGCAAGGAAACCAGTGAAGCTGGCCAGGAAGTGGTAATCCATTAAGAGAAGGGGATATTCATCTCTGGGGAATATCTCAGGGGAGTGATTGGATGGGACTTTAGGCTCAGAGGCATCCAGGCAGCAGAACTGGGTGGGCAGGGTGCTCTTTGGTCAGATCACGTTTTGGTAGGGGAAGCTAATCCCATCAGGCTAGGGCTTCATGAGAAGGGTAGAACTTGAGCTGAGACTTGAGAGTATGGTGAGGATTTTAATAGGTAGGGGAAAAGCGTTCCAGGAAGAGGGCATGAACAAGCAGAGGCATAGAGTGTGAATGAGTGGTCTGTTTGGAGCTGAGGCTGACAGTGAGATACTGGGGTTGGTGTTCCAAGTGGGGGTAGGCTGAGGCAGCTGCGGGGCGTCACTTCTCTCAGATGCTGACCCTACGTCTTAATCTTCTCTGCACCTCCTTTTGTGTCTGTAACTTCAGCAAAGAAGAAAAAGATGGGGAATATGGCTGCAGGCCTTGGCCGAACTGGCCACCTTGGCCCGCACCCTGACTAAAACTCCCTGCCTTTCCTCCTTCAGGTGAAGGTGGTGAGCCTGAAGCCTGAGGTGGCCCAGATCGACTTGTACATCCTCGGCCAAGCCGACCACTTTATTGGCAACTGTGTCTCCTCCTTCACGGCCTTCGTGAAGAGAGAACGAGACCTCCAGGGGAGGCTATCCTCTTTCTTCGGCATGGACAGGCCCCCACAGCTACGGGATGAGTTCTGATCCTGGCTGAGCACATCACCAGTCTGAGCTGGTCTCTGCAGCCAGGCCTGGCAGCCAGAGTTGCTCTCAGGATTGATCCCCAAAGAACAAGCTCTTTTCACCTGCCAAGGACAGAGAAAAGTATCAGGGACTTCCTAGAAGAGGAAGATAATCTATCTCCCAGGGCACGGGACTTCTAAGCTCCTAAGAGCCGGACCATCTTCCCTCCTCATATGATTCTGGCTATTCCTCCTGGGAATTCCTCACACCAGCAAAGCAGTCCAGCTTCTGTCTTTTGGTCTACCCTGCTCTGAGCAGCCTGGGATGCTGAACTCTCTTCAGAGAGATTTTTTACATATGTGTGTGTGTGTGTGTGTGTATGCACACACATGCATACACACACACACGTATATATATATACATATATATTTATAGTTTTGATACAAGGTCATGACTACCCTAGAACTCTCCCTCATTTAAAAAAAATCAGTGAGGTTCATTAACGTAGATACCTGAAGTGACCTTAACTAAATGTAGATAAGGCCCAGAAGTGGGTTGGGGGTATTCACCACTTTTCCATATGACCCTCAAAGTGACCCTCAGACTCATCCCCACTTCCTGGGCCATTTCCAGGGTTTGGGGCATGAGTATTGTCCTCTGTTGTAAACACTATGCAAATAGAAGTTCTCAGTCATGGTGCCCTCCAGTGCTCTGCAGACGGCTAAGTGCTCACACAGCACATTCCTGGCGAGGAGCACACACCATCAAGCCCGACTCTGGCATCTTGGCATTGCTCTTCATCAGTTTTTTGGTAGTTGGTGGCCTGCCACAAACCTGGCACCATCACCAGGGGCCAGAGCTTACTGGCCTGCTGGGATCCTTCTGAAGGCTTCCATCTCTTCTGATCTCTTGCCCTGGGGCCTGGTTGTAGGATTTTGCCATTAAGTTGGTATCCAAGGCCTGTCCTCCCAGCCTTTCTCCCATAGCTGGAGACATCAGATCATGTGGAAAAAGGTAGTGTTTGCTAAGCCTCTGACCAGACAGAAGATGCCCCAGATCCAAGAGCCATTGGAGTCTCAGTTTAGAACCAAACTTTGTCCCTTCCTATCTAATATAATTTCTGCCAATGCCATGGGGCTTAAAGTGTTATAATCTTAAATTGCTTTGTCTCTCAGATACTGCAGTTGTAATAATCCCTAACTCCTGAGAGTCTGAGTTTTTGACCTCGTGGTTCTAAAATTCAGGTCTAACACCTGCTGATCTCTCACCATCATGTGACCTCTCTGGGTCTTTGATCCTGGAAAGGTGAAGAAGCCTGATGAGAGCCAGGCCCAGGGCTCCACGCAGGAGCTTCTCTTGTGGATTACCTTTGAGAAGGAATTCTTTTTTTGTCAAGGCAGACTGGGTCAGAGGTTGCAGGACAACAAGGGTCTCAAAGACCAAAAGTGGCATTTGCTGCTTAGGGCTGCTGCCCAACTCTAAGCGGGAGAAACTACAGAAAGGGCTTTTGTATTTGTCCTCTTAGGAAAACAGTGAAATGTTTTAAATCCTGGGTGCACTCTGGGAGATGCTTTATCTGTTCAGACTTGTTCACGAGCCTCATTCAAAGACCTGGAGCCCATGCCCCCCTGCCTCTGTCAGCTGGTTGGGAAAGCATGGCTCACTGGCTAATTTTATTTGCTGTTCACAGCCTCACACTAGGCACATGCTTTAGAGTTTGGGCTCTAAAGGACCATCCAAATCATCTTGATTAGTTTCAGCAGTAATAATAGCTTGTGTTTCTAGAGGAGAGAGGGTCAGAGTTGTAGTCAGATTCTGTGTGTTCTGTAGGCAGGCACTTTATTCCTCTTTGACCCAGTTTCCTCACCAATAAAATGGTGATAAAACCAGCAGGGTTGTTGAAAGGCTCAAGTCAGATAAAACATGTACAAGAGCACATTGTAAACTTGAAAGAGACAAAGGCACATCTGTGGCTGTTGATTAATTTGACTGCCTCTTGCTACACACCTTCTCTGTGCCAGGCACTGTGGTTGTTAAGTGATTTATGGGCATTCTCTGGTTTAGTCCCCACGCCAGCCCTGGGAAGTGGGAACTGTTATTATCTTCTTTCTACACAAGGAAAATTTAATGCTCAGATAATTCTCGTAATTTTCCCAAGGCCACACAGCTGGTGACAGTAAGCCAGGATTTGACCTTCCAAAGCCAGTACTAATAGCCACCTTGCTCTCCTGCCTCCAGTCCACAGGTATTCTCAAGGAATTTGCATTCTAGTAAGTAGAAGACACAAATGTACCTGGAGGTGTTAGGTGCTATAAAGGAAAAGAAAGGTCATGGGGAGGATACAGAGGAGAAGCAGTGCTGTTTTAGATAAGAATCTCAAGGCCTCTGAAGAGCTGCCAGGGAGGAGGGAGGGACATGTACTTAGGTGTCTGGAGGAAGCACATTCTCAGCAGAGGAAACAGCAAGTGCAAAGGCCCTGAAGCTGGAGTGAGTGAGTGAAGAATAGCAAGGCGTCCTTCTGGCCATAGTGGCAGAACCTAGGCAGGGAATAGAGCAGTAGATCAGAGCAGGGTCCTACAGCCTGGAGGGCAGCAGTGAGACTTGGCTTACATATGGAGTGATAGGAAAGCCTTTGTAGGGTCTGAACAGAGGGGAGTCATGGTCAGATTTACATTTTTGAAGGAACTCTCTGGCTTCCATGTGCAGTAGAGGGGAGGGAGGGAAAGTGGAAGTAGGGAAACCAATGAGGCTGTTGCAGGGATGCAGGTGAGAAAGACTACAGGGCATCAGGCAAAGGTGGTTGCATTATAGGTGATGGGAAGTGGTCAGATGCTGGATATATAAAATTATTTTTAAATCTCAATCTTTTTTTAAGATATGTCTACATAGTTTAAATCATGCAATATATACAATTTAATGTCCTGTTTTTCACTTGATAGTATATCATATTTTCCAGGTCAATATGTGGCTTGAATAAACACTTTTAATATAAAATTTCATTGAGGGGTGTCCTGTAGTTTATTATTGTCCTGTTATGAGAACTTAGTACATTCCCAATTTTCACTATTATTATTTGAAGAGCGTTTTTATTTGTAAGGTTTTTCTGTATCTAAAATTTTTATTAAGATAAATTCCCCGAAGTGGATTTGCTAGACCATAGACTTAAAAACTTTTATTCTGGAAAAATTCAAGTATACATAAAAATCATGAGTCATAAAATGAACTCCCAGTTTCAACAATCCTAAACATTTCACCAGTTTACTATCCCACCCCCAAGTCCATGGGCTGGAGCCTTTTAAAAAAAATCTGACTTTGTTTTGAAGAAAGAGCCAACAGGCTTTGCTGACACACTGGAGGGGTAGGAGGGAAAGGGAAGTCCAAGATTCTCTGAGGTTTAGGGTCTAAGCAAACAGAGAGTTATTTGAGAGTTACTTGCAAAGTGACCTTACGGTAAGGTCCCTCACCTCTCTACCTTACCTCCGAGTTCCAGGTGCTAGCAGTGGTCCTAGTGGTGTTTCTCAAAAGTGGTCTCCAGAGGTTCCTTGAAGGCAGATTCCAGGGACCCACCCAGACCTGAGCAATCAGAATGACTAGTGGGTTGTCCTCAGGAATCTGCATCTTAAGAAGCACCCACAAGTGATTTTGATTCCCACCGGACCCACTTCAGTTGTCCTTGGACCAGCAGCATCAACATCACCTGGAACAGCTTATTAGAAATATAGATTCCCAGGCTCCCCCGCTAGACCTGCTGAATCAGAAGCTCTGGAAATTCAGCTCAGGAATCTTTTAGGGGGGCGGGTGGGGGGAGGGGTGTATTTCTGTTTTCAAGGATTTGTGCAGGCAGGCAATGGTGAATTCTTTTAACAAGGAGTGTTTTAACGAGCTCTCCAGGAGCTAAAGTTTGAGCAACGCTGGTTGGAAGGCTATGGGTCAGCCAACAAGCACTGATGCAGGGCCTTATCTGCAACCCCCACCCCCACCCCCACTCCTGGCATGCCTTGAAGATTCCACAAAGCTTGGTCAACGGGGTAACTTTAGGAGGCACCCATCAGTGCTCAGTTTGTGTTGAAACATTGCCTTACTTATTGTACATTGGGGAGAATATGCAACTAGACAGTCGGACGCTAACTCACGCTAATTCACGCTAACTCATCAAAATCACAGAATAACCTTATAAGATTGGCCCTCTTACTATCTTCATTTTACAGATAAGGGCTCTGAGGCCCAGACCAGTGAAGCAACTAGCTCAAGTTCATATAGCCTGTGAGTTGCTCAGACCCTGAAAGTATAGGACAAGTGTCAGTGCCCTTAACCCCTATGCTGTGCTATCTCATATCACTTATCAGAGGACATTAGTTTCTCAGTTTCCCCAGCTTGACCAGAGCAGAACAAGGACCATGCCTGATGTACGGTCCTCTTTTGGCACCTAACCCAGTTCTTGGCTTATAGAACCGTTCATTGTATATGCGTGGAATGAATGGATATGCAGAGAAAGTGGTCTGGGAGGGTGAGGTGATTTCTGGCATCATGGGACATTCATAGAGAAGGTTGGAGTCGAATTGAATGATGGGTTTGATCTAAACAGGTACTCATGGGGAAGAAGAAAAGGAATTCTGGATAGAGGAAACCACGTGAACAAAGGTACAAATTGGGGATATAATTTGTCTGGTGTAGCTGGATTGGGGGAAGAATTTGGAAAGTTCATTGGGGTCAGAACATGGCAGGAGCTGATGCTTTGGATGCCAGAGTAAAGAGTTTGTATTCCTGGGAGCAGTGGGGAGCCAATGAAGCTATGATGCAAGGGAAGTGACACAATTAGAACTGGGTGGTAGGGCTGTTAATATGACTGTGAGTTTAAAATGACTGAGGTGAAAGACAGTATGATGAAAACTAGAAAAACAGCAAGGTTTGTGGGGACCAGTGAGCCATGCCATGTGTGGATCTGGAGAGGTGGAGACTGGAGATGAGGCAGCAGAGGAAGGTCTGAGCAACATGTGAAGGGCCTAGAATGCCAAACTAAGAGTCTGGCTTTTTTCCTTTGGGGGAACTTGTAAACTGAAAGTGCTTGATCAGATCTTACTCAGGGTTTGTCTCTGGGTCAAAGGCAAGCAAATAAGGTAAGGGTGGGAGGAGAGGTCTTTCAGGGTTCACTAAGGGGCCACCTGAGCCATCTGTGAATAAAGTCCCGTGGTGCCCCTTGAGAGCGGAGCCAAAAGGCAGAGAGCTCTGGTCCCATAAATTTTCAAAAATTTTATTGAAAATAAATTCATAAACAAGGTAAAAATTCAGAAAGCATAAAAGAATATATCTGTTGAGTGACAAATAAATGCCCACTTCTAGCTCAGAATCCTCCCCAGAGGCAAATGTTACTAACAGTTTTTTGTAAGCCTTCCAGCAATTTTTCATGCCATTCATGAGCATACATCTATGTGTATATCCTTTTAAATAAAACCAAACAAAACGAAACTGTACTGTCTGGCTCTTGTTTTTTTCGCATTACATACCTTAGAGTTTTTTCCATATCAGACATGCAGATCTTTTTCTTTTACCCTCCATAGTTCATAATATGAATGGACTATAATGTATTTAACCTACTGAGTGATATTTAAGTTTGATGATTTGGGCCATCCCGAACCAAGTTGCAATGGAGAACCTGGAATAGGTGCCATTTCCCACATGCGCAAATCAGTAGGATATGTTTCAGCTAGTGGAACTGGTGAATCAAAAGAGTGTGTGCATTTGTAATTTTGACGGGCATGGCTATTGCCCTCCAACAAAGTTGTGCCAGTTCATCGTCCCCAGCATAGCACCATTTCCCAACACTGTCTGGCTTCGTTGATTTTTCACGTGGCTTAGGGAGAAGCCACTCATCTTGGGTCCAGGCACTTTGATTTCTACCCAGGTGCTGCAGTGTGCTGGCTGTACACAGTCTAGGAGACTTCAGTTTGAATTCCAGCTCAGCCATGACCCAATGTGTGACTCAGTCAAGTTATTAGTCTGTCTGAACCTTGGATTTTACATCTGTAAAATGGAAATAATGTCTTCAGTCAAGTCTCATCTTACTTTAAAGTCAGGTCCTAAAGTATAAGGGCAAAATTTATTTTCTTTTTGCCCTAACTTGATGTGATATAACTCCATTCTACTTGGTCAGGTTGTTGTGAGAATTTAAAGAACTAATATTGCCATTGTACCTGGCACATAGTAGGTGCTTGATGATATTAGTGTTATTATTTGGTGAAATTACAAAACCTTTCTGAGGCTCAATTTCTTCAACTATGAACCAGCAGTTAGCAGGGTGCTGCCAGAGAGATTCCAGAGTGCATGAAAATGCTTTGTAACTATGAGGAGGGCCCCAGATATGAGGGATTAAGCTTTATCGGAGCTCCGGCAGCCCTGCTAGGCACTGCCTGCTATAAGCTTCCTTTATTTTTCTCCCTGGTTTTTCAATATTGTATTTGTTCACAGTGAGACCGTCTTCTCCTAGTCATTGCCCGTGAGTGAACAGGAACCCTGAGCACTCAGCCTGCTGGGGAGGTGGGCCAGTGGGAGAGACCCCATCCTGCCTCTAGATTAGGCTTCTAAGGAGTAGGGCCCAGAGGGAGGCAAGGACCTAGGCCACGCAGGCCAATGGTACTGGAGGGCTGGCAGAGAACTGCCTCTTTATGGCAGGAAAGGCCTCAGGAAAGGTCCTGGCCCTCTCTGAACTCTGCTCTCTTCTTCAAATATAAAATGAGGGCTTTGGAGTGTGTGACCTTTCTAAAAGGGTGCCAGGTTTGACATCTAAAGGCTTGAGTGCAAGGCCTAGTTTTAAAATTTATCCAGTATGTAATCAATCACTAGGACTTGGTGTTCTCATCTATAAAATAAGAATACAAATTAAACCATTGAACCCTTATGAATAGAGTCCCTCCTCCCATGGAACTTGCTTTCTAGTGGGGGAGAAACAGATAAGAAACAAATAAATATATGATGTGCGAGGAGGTGATAAAAACTATGAAAGAGAACGAAATAGGGTAAAGAGGAGAGTGCCTGGGATGGTCAGGGAAGGCCTCTGTGTCCAGGTGACATTTGGGCAGAGACCTACAGGAGGCAACTGAGTGAGCTGTCTGGATATCTGAAGAAGAGATTCCAGGCAGAAGGAACAGTAAGTGCAGAAAGCCTGGAGTGGAGATAAGCCTGGTGCATTTGAGGGACAGAGAGGAAGGGTAGGGGAGAGGTAGGAGAGGGAACAGAGGCCAGATCAGAATGGGCCTCCCCTCTGGAACTTATGTGAGTGATGTGAGAAGCCATTGAGAGGTCCTGAGCAGAGGAATGACATGATCCGACTTAGGTTTTGTATTATATATATCTTGGTATTATTATGGTTATCTATTGCTTCTTAACAAGTAACTCCAAAATGTAATCTCTTAAAGCAAGCATAGCTTATTTCTCATAGCTTCTGTGTGGGTCAGGAGATTGGGAACAACTAGGCTGAGCAGCTTTGATCTCTTCTGAGGTCATAGTCAGATACTGACCAGAGCTGCACTCATCAAAGGCTTGACTGTGGCTGGAGGCTTTATTTCCAAGGTGGCTCATTCATGTGGCTGGCAGGTTAAGAGCTATTGCTGGGAGGCCTCAGCTCGTCTCGCGGGATTCCTTGGGGGACCTCACAACATTGTGGCTGGCTTCTCCCAGAGTGAGTGAGTCAAGAGACCAAGACAGAAGATGTGGTGTCTTTTGTGATCTAGCCTCAGGAGTCGTACACCATCACGTCTACCATTTTTATTGGTCACACAGGCCAGCCCTATCTAGGATAAGAGAGAACTACACATGGGCATAAGTACAAGGAAGTGAGGACCACTGTGGGCCATCTTGGAAACTGACTACTACAAGTTGTTTTGTTTTAATTCACATTCTTTTGGTATATAATTCTATGAATTTTAACATGTGTAGATTTGCGTAACCACCACCACAAACAGGATACAGAACAGTTTCATCAAAAAACCCTCCTATTTCCTTT